ATAATAATAATAATAATAATAATAATAATAATAATAATAATAATAATAATAATAATAATAATAATAATAATAATATCTTAAACATTAAGTATTTCAAATTTAATAAAATAAGATATTACATCAATGGCTATATAAAAAAAATATAAATATCAAATAACTAGTTAATCTTGAAATTAATATTATTATTACAGTTTCAGATAATAATCTTCTATTATAATATACTTACTGAAAAAAAGTATTAATAAAATCTAGATATTACCCAAAATTTTATTTAATTTAATAATCTTTAAAGTATATTTATAAGTTAAGTACTTTATCAAACTTTATCAAGTTTTTTTAATTATCAAAAGAATAGTTTCTGAATTTTAAAAATATTAAAAAAATTATGTCATTAAATAAAAAACTTATAGATTTTGAAAAAGATAGAGTGATTAAATATTGAAATTATGAGAAAAATGCTTGTAGGATTGCTAAAGCTCTTGAATTTTTATAATTACAAGTTATCTGTATGATTAATATATTTTGAAATAATCAAAGAATAACAGTTTAATTTAAAAGTGAAAGATCAAGATTAATGCCTAATTAAAATATATACTACTTAACTCAAGAAGTTCAAAAAAATAGATAAATTATAACTAATAAATTTGCTCAATATATAGATAAAAGCTTAGCTATTTTAGTTATTAAAAGAACTATTTGATCTTATCTTTATGAAGCTGGTTTTCATAGTTATATTAGGAAAAGAAAACTATTTATTTCTAAGAATAATCATAAAAAATGATTTCAATAGTATCAGAAGCAAAAAATGTGAGTTGATAAATAGAAAACTATAATCTGAAGTAATGAATCTTATATCAAAATGATATTTATATAAAGATTTGACATTAGCCAAAAGAAAAATATGCTATTAACTGCTTAGTTCTTATTTATAAGTATGAAGGAGATAATATAATAGTATAGGACTGTTTTGTTAATAATCAATCTGAAATACTGGTACTCATAAAAGATAAACTTGATATAAATAACTATATAGAAATTCTAGAAAAAAATTTATTATCTTTTATAAGTAACTTAAAGCAAATTATATATATTTTTCAAGAGAATAATGCTCTAATTCATATAGCAAAAAAAACTGTAAAATAGAAGAATAAAAATATAATAATATTATTTCTGTAATCCATATAGAGCTCAGATTTAAATTCAATTAAGTATGTTTAGAATTAATTAGAAAAAAGAATTTATTAGTAAAAGACTTCATCTAAAAATATTTATAAACTAACTATTACAGTAAAGAAAGAATAGTTAAAATTAGATTTAAATTTTCTTGAAAATTTAATAGAAAGCATACCTCATAGAATTAAAACTGTAATTAAAAATAAAGAAAATCCAACATAATATTAACTAATTTATCAAAAAGTTCAATCCTTTTTGATCATAACAATATAAAAGTTATTAAAAGTTTACTAATATATTATTATTTTATAGCTTATCAAAGTTGATATACTTTTTTGCATATTATATTATACCAAGATTTTTTTCAATACTTTTTTTTGATAAGTGTAATTATAATAACTTTTAGATAGACAAACTACTATAATTCATCTACTAATATCATTACTAATAATAATATTACATATTTAAACTAGAATTTGTATCTGTAGAAGATTAGAGTATAAGTTAATCTCAAAAGTTTTTAATAATATTTCTATAATAATTATTAAATAAAATCATAAAAAAAACAAGAATCTAGAAAAAAAGAATAAAAAAAGTAATAGATATAGTTTATTATAAAGAAAAGGTAAAAGATTAACTTATGTAAATAATAATTGATAGTAAATCAGTTAGTAATATTATATTAATTAGATTTCTGAAATAAATAAATAAAAAGATTGATAGAAAGATTGATAAACTATCAAATATCAATCTTATTAGAATAAATAAAAAATCAAAATAGTCACTAGAAGAAGTAGAAGGATTAAGAATAAAAATTGGAGATTTAAGTTAACAAATAGATATTTTAGTTATAGAAAAAGCAGAATATAACTTATTACTTGATAACTAATAGATAAAATAATTCAAGACTATTCTGAATTGGAATAATAAACTTCTAAGTTTTAAAGTAGAAAAAGAATTTATAATCATTCCAATTATTTATATATAATAAAGATTAATTATGAAATTAATCAATCTTGAGAGAAAATTCAAGAGTTCTACCTCTAATAATAAAGATATCAAATTAATATGAAGAAAAAGAATTAATTGATTAGCTTTTATATATAGTATATGAAGAGTAAAACAAGTAGCTTGTAATGAAGATAAAAGTTTAGAAAGACTTTATAAAAATTAATAATAAAGTCATTGAACAGAAAGAAAAAGAAAGAATTTGATAGAAAAAATTAGAGAATTATGATACTTATATTCATGACAGAAAAGAATATGAATATTCTTAATATAAAATAAAATAAAGTATATATAATTAGTTAGAGATACTATCTTAATTATCATTAAATACTACTCTAACTATAATAGAATCAGACTTGAATTCAAAATAATAATAATAATTATATCAAGTTTTAGATTTATTTAAAGATCTTTTTGATATAATTCAATCTGATTGAATTAATATACTCTAATATGAAATATATCTGAAGAAAGAAAGATCTATCATTCTCTATTTATATTATCACAAATTATTAATAAAGAATATTTTTCTAAAAGAAAAAATTCAGAAAATATTAGATAATAGTATAATTTTCTCTTCTGAAAGCTCTTAATCTGTACTAATAATTATAGTAATAAAAAGTTTTAGTTATGTGTGAATTACAAAAAATTAAATAAAATTATCAAGAAAGATTAATATTTTCTATTACAAATTAACAAACTCCTAAATTTATTAAAAAATATAAAGTATTTTACTACTATAAATCTTGCTAGTGGATTTTAACAGGTAAAAATACATTCAAGAGATAGAAAGAAAATTATATTTATTATCAATGAAGAATTATTCTAATTTAATATAATATTATTTAGACTTATTAATATTCTAGTTATCTTCTAAAGATTAATAAATAAGATTTTTAAAGAATATATCAGAAAGTTTATAATTATATATCTTAACAATATTACTATATATTTTAAAATCTGAAAAAAATACTTAATTCATATATAAAAGACTTTAAAAAACTCCAATAAGCAAATCTAAAGCTTTAATCAAACAAATATACTTTTGAAAAAAATTAATTATTCTTCTTAGAATATATTATTAGAAAAGATAATATTTATTCTGATTTAGCTAAAATAGAGAAGATACAAGAATTTTCAATATCTACTAATATCATTTTATTAAGAAGATTTATAGGACTTGCTTCTTATTATAGAAGATTCATCAAAGATTTTATCAAAATAGTAATTCTTCTATACAAATTATTCAAAAAGAATAAAGAATTTAAATGAACAGAAAAGTAACAAAAAGCTTTTGAATTGCTCAAGAGATATTTAACTTTGTTATCAATTATTACTTATCTAAACTTTATAAAATCTTTCACTCTTTTTACTAATATTTTTGAATTAAAATTAGGTATTATACTAGTATAATATAATAGTAAAAAGAAGAAATATATTATTACCTATATCAATAGAAGAGTTAGAAAAAAGAAAGTAAATATAATATAATAAAATTAAAATATCTTGAAGTAATTTGAATAGTTAAGTTATTTAGATCTTATCTACTATCTGACATTCTATTTACATTAATTAATAAGTCAAATTCTCTTGAAAGACTAACATACTAAATAATAGCTTTATGAAAATTATTGATTCCGACAGAGGCACGTGATTTTTGTGACAGATCTCCTCTGGCAGGTTACGCATCTTACCTGATACGTCTCAGTTGTCAATGAGACAAGAATCGATCTGAGGAGAAATGACCTAATCATAACATTTTTTTATGATTTTTTGTCAGCATGTTCCTTGTCACATATAACGATAACATGCTCCTAATTAATATTTAATATCTTGCGATTTGATTGGTCAATCGTCAGTGTCGGAAATAGGGGAGATCGGAACTTGTACCTGTGAGTAATAAAAAGTGTATTTTAAAAATCAGATGAATCAATCAATTTTTTTGGTATTTTAAAAAAATTGCATCCAAGAGAATTTAAATCATTAATGTCGCTATTTGGCTAACTTAATTTCGAACAAGCCCGAAATTATGATGGCTTCATGATGAAGAGACATGTGAATGGGAATAGCGATTGATTATATAAAAAAAAGGTTGGGAAGATGTGGCCTGATTTTTTATCGCTGGCTTTTGAATATAAACAGTATCTTCCTCTATAGTGAATTTTTATTTAAAATCAACGAAAAGATAAAATATAGTCTAGCAATCCAATTTATAAACATGGCGCGACTGCCAAATAGTAAATTAGTCCAATTCGGACTTCGAGGGTTACTAACAAAAGTTAATGCACCTTCAAACATCTTTTTAAATTCAAATACCTTACGACCTCTCTCTACTTATACAAGCTTACTATCGCTTACCTCTAACGGCTGTACTAATAATAGCTGGTGGGTTTTACGTCGTCCGTTTGGTGGTGGTGGTGGTTTCGTAGCGTGTTATAGTACCGGGGGGACAGGAACAGGAAAAGATAAAAAAGACTTTCCGTTTAAGACGAATCGGTTTTATCCGGAACAAAAAGAAGACGCTGTTGAAAAGAAAAAGAGCGCGATAATTGTTTTGCAGGAATGGTGTGGTCTTTTTTTCTTATATTGCTTTGATAAAGAAATATTACATGGTTTATTAGCAAATTATTTGCAAGAGATAATGAGAAAACATCTTGATATAATAATTAGGTGGGGCGTAACTGAACAAATTAGACTACATGCGCAAAAGATAGCGGATAACACGCGAGCTGTCTCCATAGTTCCAGATATGTATAATGGAAAACTTGGGCTATCGCGTGAGGCATGTATTGTGAGATAGACTAGATTTTTGGATCAAACAAAAAAAGTTACGCGTTTGATCAAAAAATTATGGTGGTTTTTCAATATCGGGTATTTTTAGAAATTATTTTCTCTTATAATTACGGTAATGATAATGATCTGCCTGTAGGAAGCAAGTCACTTGATGAATAATTTGGATTTGAAACAAGCTGTTTTGGATTTATCCGAGTTAGTCGAGTCATTAAGAAAGGAAAATTATACGTGGGTTTATATATAGATTAATGCCAATACAAATTTAATTTAAAAGTACATCATTATTAATTTTTGCCTTTTTACCGAAACAATTTCAGACATATTGCGTCAATTGGATTTTGTATGGGCGGTAAGAGATAATTTCTGTAGATAGAATAAACGCGTCGTGTTGTGTTTTTCTTATACTCTGAATTAACAATTAGGATTTGAACTACTTTAACGGTGATAATACCGTATTAGGTGCACTTAGTCTTGCCCTTGCTGCAAATTTATCTACAACACGAACACCGCTGAGTGCTGTTGTCACATGTTATGGTGTTCCGCCACGGACTCTGTGTGACATGTCCACGATTGCTGTGAACACACCTGTACAGGTAATATACAAAGGATGATGAGAGACAATAAGAATTGATTCTTCAATCGAATAACAATAATTAACCAATATTATTACTATTATATTATTATCGATTAATTCCATCAATTAGGGACATTTTGGAAATGAGGATAAAACGACCGGATTCAGTGATCCTAACGCTGGTATTTATTTTTTATTTTCTATTATACTATTTATTTATGGTTCAAAATTTTTTTTCGTGCCTTCGCTTTCTCTTTCTATATTAATTATTATGATCTTTTATAGCAAATTCATTAGAACGTCAACTTAGAGAAGGCATCGAACTACACACCACCAAAGGCATCGGTCAACCTATCGAGATTTATCGATACGACGGAGAAGGACACGCGTTCCTAAACAATGAACCATGGGCCAAAGAACGACGAAAGGAATTAGGATTTGTGGGTGGCGAGAATAAGGAGGTACAAGATTTGGCATGGAGTCGAATTTTCTCACTCTTTAATCGTTATTTGGCGTAGATTTTTATTTATGGATTATTAAGGAAATGCTGCTGCTAATGGAACTGATGAAGCAATAGACGATGTTTTGAGTGTGTTTGATTGCTTTAGGTTGGAATGACGAATATGTAGATTTGGTTAATGTTTAGAGCAGGACATTTTTTGTTTTGACATTGTTAATATGATAGAGGCAAAGCTATGTAATTAATAATATACTTAAAAGTTAATTTGATCATGAATAAATCAGTCAAAGTTGGATATAAAGATAAAATTATCCCGTATTAGTAAATTATTTTTAAAACCGGTTTAATCCGGATTTAAAAAATAAGAAATTAAATCCGACCTAATTCGGAATTGTCATGTTACATAATCTAGTAAATAAATAACGCGAATAACGGAGATCAGCGTAACAACAATTTCATTCTCTATGCTTCGTTGTAAATATGGCATCTGAAGACATAGAAACACAAGAAATACAGCAACGGCTGAATGAAGAACCACAACAGCCCCAGGGAGAACAACCGCAACAGGAGCAGCAGATTCTTGAAGTTCATGAGCTTCAGAGGATTAAACTTGGTTAGATATTTTGTGATCTTAATAATTAGGATGCTTGCTTTTTGGTTTTCAGTAATCGTGTGTTGGGCTATTGAATTCACAAATATATAAAATCATTAAAATTTGTTCTCGATCTGATTTCCTTTGGATATTTAGGGCAAAGATTACATGAGGCGAATGAACAAATTCGAGCTATGAGAGAAGCTTATGTTAACTTAGGTATTCGAGATAATTTAATTTTTGATTTCCATTTTGTTAGAATATATATGTATGTGTAATTTTTGTGAACTTCATTTTTATTTTGTTTTATAGAGGGGAAATTAGAGACTGCTATCAAAGACAAAACACAAACTGCAAATACTGAATTGTCGAAGAAAATTAATCTGTTGGAAAGAGATTTAGCAGAAGTTAAAGTGAGTTTATGATTGATTGGTTTTATATAAACAAAAGATGGGGGGGGGGGAAGGTCAGTAAAAAAGGGACAAAACAATTTTTTCTTCAAAAATAAGTTTGATATAAATATATAGATTATTTTTGTTTAATTATGAACACTTTTTTTTCATAATTTAATTATATAGATCAATTAGTATTTATTGTATAAAAATTTAAATCAGAAAAAACTCTTGATTTATCACTTTTCTGCTGACTCCCCAATGTATAAAAAATAAGTGAAAATTATGTGTGATCTAATATTAACTTTATTCTATCCAAAAAATTAAATAAAAAAAGGATGAGGTCGAACTATACAAGGCAAAATTTTCTGATGCACACGAAAAAGCACAATCTCTCGAACATTCGTTGAATGCGGAACAGCGCGCTCGCGAAGAAGAAAAGATTCGGTATGAAAGCGAAAAACGTGAATATGAATCACTAAAAAATATGTATGAGCAGGAAAAGAACATGACTGGTGATGTACATGCGAAGTTTGAGTCGGAGAAATTAAGACTTAATGAGCAAGTTCGTCGGCTGGAGAGTGAAAATAGTAATTTGGTAATTATTAATACTTATTACGATGTTACTTCAGACTTTCATCTAAGTTAATTTTGATTTGAAAATTGGGAATTTAGCATAACACAATGAACGAACTCCGAACACAAATGCATGCTATAGAACGTGAACGCGATCTAGCAAACTCTCAGGCTCACAATTACAAACTACAATACGAACGAGCCCTCAACGAGAAACACACCGCCGACCGCCGCTCGCAACTAGAACTCGAAAAGCTGCGCAACGACTACAATTTGCTTCAGAAAGAAAACACTATGTATCAACGCAAACACCAAAATGACCAAACAAATCTCGAGCAACTTGCCCGTTCCGAAGAAGAACTAAGGAATCTGCTCGAGCAGCACAAACAGCAACTCGTCACGATGGAGCAACTATTGTCTGAAAAAGAGTCGCAATGCAACCAGAAAGATGAACGGATCGCGGAGTTGTCGCAAAATTTGGAAGAGGCTGAAAAACTCGCGGCGGCTGCGTTGGGCTCACCGAGTACAACTGGGATGGCTGTGTTGGGAAATCATGGAAAGTCATTGACGGATTTGTTAAGAGAGCATCGGTCGATGTCGATTGAGTTGATTGAGACTAGAGCTAAATTAAGGACTCTTGAAACTGAAAAACTGAGGCTTGAAGATTCTATGAAGAAAATGGTCAATGAGATACTTCGGACTGTATGTATGTTTATCCATTTAGGAAAATTGCATTTTGATATGATAGTAATGATGACGTGGAATTTTTTATATTGATAGGCACCGATTCTCAAGTCGCGAAATGAAGAATCCAAGCGTAAATCTCAAGAAATTGACAAGCTTCTGCACGAATTAAAAATGAAAGAAGATCTATTGACACGGAGCTCGAATGAGGTAAAAAAATTTAATTTACTGCAATCACATAAATGGCATATTATTGAGATGACTCAATTCTATTATTTAATTTTTATTAGCTACAAGCTCTCAAGGTCCAACACAAGTCTCTTACAACGGATTATTCCAAATTACAGAATGGTAAAACCCATAATTCACTTTATCAAAGAAATACATATAACTAACAGTTAAAAACATAAAAAACATACCAGAAAAAGAAATATTGTTGCGCCACAATGCATACTTTATGCAAGAACTTGAAAGTCGACCCTCTGTAGGTATCCACACACCCGTCTACACATCTCGCGAGAATGACATCGGGTTCCGAAATCTCGAGGAAATGTACACGCAAAACGTGTCAATGACCTCAGAAATTAATGTGTTATCGCAACAGCTTAAAGAGCTTTCAGAAAAAGCCAAAGATTTGGAAAACTTTGCTGCGGAGAATATCCGATTGCAATCAGAGATTGATGTATTAAGGATTCGGCTTAAGACGGTGCCTGAACAGACGCCTGCTCCTGCTGCGGCTGTTATTGGTACATCGACGACTCCGAATACTCCAAGCGTGGGTTCTGTTCCTGCTTTTAATAATCAGGAAATAACTTATTATAAGAAGGAAGCTGAGTCGCTTCAAGTAAGAATTACAAAATGACCTTCAGAAAATTGTTTTTCTTTTTATTTTCTAATAAATTATAAATATTAAAAAATTTGTAAGGCAAGAGTGAACGAGCTTATGTTAGCTAGGGAACAACTTAACAATGATTGTAAGGAATTGAGGCAAGAATTGAACGAAGCTAAATCGATAAGTAGCAAATATCAGGTGGCTCAACATCAGCTTGAAGGTATCTTAGTCATTTCTCAACTTTTTTTTATATTTTAATTATTTTCTAATAAGCCTTTTTACATTATTAAAGTTTATCAACAATGGTTGGATTCTGAACGAGAGCGGAGCAAGAAACAAGAAGATGAACATAATAAAATGCTTGAGCTTCGGTATACGGAAATACGTGATTTGCGTGGTCAATTGCATGCGCTTCAAGAAGAATTGAATCCTATCAAAATGGATTTGCGACAGGTGAATTACTAATTAAATTCGTGTAAATCTTTTAATTGCAAAAAACCTCGTCTCATTCTTTTTCCCAAATTCAAATAATAAATTCCATGTAAAACAGCGAAACGCAAGCTACACCGACCTAATGGAAACCCACCACAACCTCCAAAAACAGAACCAACAAATGATTTCCAACTGGCAAAAAGAAATCGAAACCGTTAAATCCAAAGAAAAAGAAGTCGCGCAGCTGTCCACTGAAAAAGGTCAAGCACTTCAAGAACTACAACAGTACAAATCCTCTGTTGAAAAGTTGAGCGAAGAGTTGAATGCGACCGTAAATCAACTTAAAGAATCTTCCGCGGAACGTGACAAGTATAGTGAACAGATACGAGTTCTTGAGAAGCAATTAGAAGAGTCGCGTGCGGCGCATGATAAGTTGATGGCGCAGGTTGAAGCGCAGAATGATGATTTGAGTAAGATGAAATCCCAGTTAGAGTCGTATGAATCTGCTGATGCCCATCTGACTATTTCGCAATTGCGGTATTTGTTTAATTTTTATCTTAAATATTATACATGTGCAGAGTTAATTTTTCTTAATTCATTTTATTACGGTTAGTGAGAGTTTAACAGACACACATAATCAAAGTCGTCGATTACAAGATCAGATTGACTTCCTCGAGAAATTCAGTCAAGATTCTCAACGTGCAGTTGAAGAGTTGGACAAATTCAATCAAGCATTACAGGAAAAATTCGACGTAGGTTTTATCATATCTTTAATTTGTTCTTTAAGATCAAACTACATGAAATCCATTTATTAACGTTTGATTATTATTCCACAGCTAACATCAAAAGAACTCACAGACCTAAAATCACAACTCGAAAAATCCACCAACGACTTACAGCACAAGCAATCCGAGATCGAGAGTCTTACTGCAGAATTGGCCACTGTACGTGAAGATTCCCAACTCAGCATCAACAATTTAAAGACCAACGAAGACTATCTTATGAAACAAGTTGAACAGAATAACAAAGAGTTAGCGGAAGCCAAGAAACGATACGATAGTCAAGTTTTGGATCTGGCGGATACGCTACGTAAGTTAAATGACATGGAACAGAATTTTAATAGACTGCGAAGTGAGAATGAAAATCTGAAGGTATGTATGGTTTGATGTAGAATTTCTTGTGGTTTTATTTATTTTATATATAAGAAGACGTATATATGTATTTTACTCTATTTAATGAAAAATAGTCTCAAATTGAGTCATCGCAAACTACATTTGCTCATGAAAAGAAAGTGCTTGATGATGAAATACGTCAATTGTCTGAAAAGTATGTATATGTGCATTGTTTGTTGATACTATCGTTATTTTAATATTGACGTATCGATTCAAATTAATCTATACTTTTTACATTTAATAGATGTTCTAAGCTCCAAGAATTTAACGAATTGTTCCAGAAACAAGCAGAGAACGATGCACCCGCTGAATCACAGCTAGCGATTCAAGGTCTACGCAGGCAATTGGAAGACTTATTACGCGAAAGCAACGACTTCAAACTCCAAAACCAATCGTTCAAACGAGAACTGGAAGAAACTCAGAAACTTGTCAATAACTGGAAGAACTTGTACGAAGAAGAACACCAAAAATTGCAAGCCTCCGAATACGGAACTGACCTCGCTGAGAAACAAATACAACTTGACCAATCGAACGTGCACAATAGACTCTTGTTTGAAGAAAACCAACGAATCACAAAAAATCTCAAAGAGCTGGAAACACGATTGGAGCAAACGTTATCTGATTCTCGAGAATACGCGAGTAAGATCACCGCTCTTGAAGCAGAGAAACAAAATCTCGAAGAACGATGTCGGCGTACGCAAAAGAGCTTGGAGACTGAACAGCAACGGTATACTGCGATATTGGCCAGTCGTGCAGATATTACACCGGCGGAAGTCGAAAAGTTGAGGAAAACCGAGGAAACTGTGAAAGGACAATTAAAAAGCGTAATTGAACAACATAAAAAGGAGGCTTTGACTCTCAAAAGACAAATTCAACAAAAGCAGACTGAGGTATATAAGAATACTAGCCTTATTCCATTATTTAGTATTATGTACTATTAATGTTGTTAAATAATTGCATTTTTTATTTTACAGCTTGAAAATTTCAAAAAGGAATTGGAGAAAATAAAACAAGAAAAAGAAGCTGAAAAGAACAAAGCTCTTGCAGAAAGTCAAGCAAAGAAAAAAGCAGAGGAATCACGCGAGGCACTTAAAAAGAAAGCTCAATCTACAATTAGTGCGCATAAAAACGAAATATCGAATTTAAAGACTCAAAATGAGACTCTCAAGAACGAGAACACGACACTTAAACAAGACACTGAGAATAAGAAGCAGGAATTTGAGAACCTGAAACAAGAAAAGGACAAATTGGTCAAAGAATTGTCAGATGCTACTACCGCAAATTTGAGACATAATGTACTTAAATCTGAACTTGAAAAAAAGAAAGAGATTATCAAAAGACTTCAAACTGAGCTGACTCAATTGAAGTCTAAGCCTGTTCAGAAAGTACCTATAACCCAACAACAATCAACATCGTCCCCTGCTGCTATCACGACAATTGCTCAACCACAAATTCCTGTCATATCATCAATTCAACAGGAAACTGTTGCACCTCAAAAGAGTGCAGACCAAGTTTCTAATAATAACAATACCATTACTGCTGCTGCTGCTGCTGCTACTACTACTGCTGCCGCTGCTGCGTCTGTTGCTGCAACTGCTACCGCAACTGCTGCTGCTACTACTACTAATAATAATAACAATAACAACAACAGCAACAACAACAACAACAACGCCAATAATAATAATAATAATAATCATCATCATCATCATCATCAATCTATCGTACATCCTCCCATTACGAGCACTGTCAGTCAAACACCTACTGTTGCACCTGCTACTCTTACCCATCAAATGAATGTTTCTCCGGCTCCTCAAGCAGCGTCAACTCCATCAGAACCTGTTTCTATCGCATCTCCTCAACCATCGGAAAAAATTCCAGCCAATATTACAACACAGAGAGGAGAAAAACGACCTGGACCCGTAAAGTTAAATAGATCTCGAGTTCCAATCCAGTTGCCAACGATACCTACTGACAATACAAACCATGGTCAATCTTCATCAACTGCACCTACCTCACAAACGACAACTATCGCTGAATCAGCTTCTACAGCGATTCCAGAGCATGAACCCATTACCATAGCAGTATCAAGTCCGATGCCATCTCATAATACCCAGGAACCTGCTACTGTTCCTGCAGAGTCAACACAAGCTGAAACTTCGGAAAGCACTGAAACAAACAACCGTAAACGACGACGATCAATAGATGACGATGTTCGTGCTAATATAGAAGCTTCGCACAGCATACAGCAATCAGGAACAACTGGTAAAAGGATAATTTCAAGTTTTTCACTCTTATATATTTTGAAATTATTAACGATTATAATCTAAACCTTTTTTATTTTTTATTCAAAAAGAAAATACAGAGGGGACTACATCTGAAGGTATAGCTGCAACAACAATAACAGGCGCAGTTACCACACAGGAACAACAACCCGAAGCTGAATCAAATACAACTGATGATTTAGCACCGCCAGTGAAAAAGACGAAATTCGAGGGAAATCAAAATGAATAAGTGCTTACTTTATGAAGATAATTAAGTTATATATAAAATTGGAAGTAAATATTGCTATTAGCTAGACCTCTAGCGACGTTTGTTCACGATGCACAAATATAATTTTCAGATACAGTTTTGTCATTTTCTTTCCACACATTACGCTTTTAGTTAATTTATTAGTAATTAAAATGCAAAACGAATTTGCAAAAGAATCAAACGTGTGCAGCTATAACGGCCATGTAACAAACCGAGTGTCGATAATGAATGATTCTGATGTATTTTCAATTACAATTTACAAAAATGTTAAAATTTCATCGATTGCTTGATAATCAACGCAAATATGGAAACGAAATGTGTATTGCAACAGTAAGTTTTTCTATCCAATTTATAGAAATGAAAAATAATTTATCAAAAAAGGGTTTGATTTAAATTAAGTTTTATTCCGGGCGTCTAGAACACTAATCTAAAAAAGCGATTTTTAATATATTATCATTTTTACATTTCGTGTGTTCTATATATAGTAAAAGAAAATTGTCACAATCTCTGACTTCATGTTCCCCCCCCCCAAATCCAATATTCTATTTGTTCATAAAATAAAGCAATAATATACTTTGAAATTTATTTAATATTACTTTTTATATAAATTACTTTACGATTTTGATTTTCGTTCTGGGCGTAAGCTACGCACAGTCTTTCCAGCAGTCCAAATTTCGCTGTCCCTAAAAAAGTCAAATTACATGTCAAATAAATGTCCACACAATATTCAATAATATAACGAGAAAGAAAAGCTTACTGAATTTCTTTTAATTCGACCTCTAACTCTTCACGATATGTAGGCGAAGAATTCTTATCCAAAGATCGCTTTGTCTCGGTTCCATCCGCTACTTTTTTATACAACTCTTCGAAGACAGGTTTATTGGCTTTGTAAAATGGTTTGTACCAGTCAAGAGCACCACGTTGTGCAGTGGTCGAACAACATGAATACATCCTATCAAGATCATTATACAATTATAAATTCACATTATCATATGAATTACTATTAAATACAATACCAATCGACATACCAGTCCATTCCATTTTCACCAATCAAAGGATACAGTGATTGAGTTGCTTCTTCCACGGTTTCATTAAAAGCTTCCGAGGGAGTGTGTCCATTAGCACGCAAAACTTCATATTGAGCAAGGAACAATCCTTGAATTGCGCCCATGAGAACACCACGCTCGCCGACCAGATCCGAGAAAACTTCCCTTTGGAAGGAGGTCTCGTAAAGATATCCCGATCCAATGGCCACTCCTAATGCAACAGCCTTGTCTTTTGCTTTACCGGAAACATCTTGAAATACGGCAACTGAAGAATTGATACCTTTGCCTTCAAGAAAAAGAGAACGGACGGTTCTTCCGGATCTAGATGATGATAAATAATAATATGAACAATCTTAGCATTGTCAATTAAAAACAAAACAAATAATAAATATTATGTTATATTAACTCACCCTTTAGGTGCCACCATGATGACATCAATATCCTTTGGTGGAATAACACCTGTGAGATCCTTATACACCACCGAGAATCCATGAGAAAAGTACAATGTTTTGCCTTTTGTCAGATGAGGTTTCATCTCGGGCCATAATTGTTTCTGGGCCGCGTCAGATAGCAAATTCAATACAATTGTGCCTTTTTCGATAGCTTCATTTATGCTAAATAGATTTTTACCGGGTTCCTAGTTTGTATATTTATAATGACAAAATTAGAAAGAAGATGCAATTTTATCAAGAAATTGATTATACACACACACACATATATATATATATTTTTAATATTTACCCAGCCATCTTTCAGAGCTTCCTTCCAACTACGTCCATCCTTTCGTAACCCAACAATCACATTCAATCCATTATCTCTTGCATTCAATGATTGACCACTGCCTTGTGGCCCATACCCAATAACAGCAATGGTATCATTCTTGAAGAATTCTTGAAATTTTTCTTTTGGCCAATCAGAGCGTTCGTAGACAATTTCTTTTGTGCCACCAAAATCGAGTGTTTTGATAGTGCGAACTTGAGAGTGGCCGAATAATGGAGAGACGTCAAATGAGTTTTTTAACTATTTGAGTGATAAAATATGTATATTAAAATCGGAAGATTAATTATAGACAGATAAGTTTTATTGGTTCAATAATGTTTCTTCACGCGTGAAACTTGGTAATTAGCAAACTACCTGTGCCACAACACCACCTTTTAACACCTGGCTTTTGTATACGTTAATGCATGAAGAGGGTCTTTTAACGTAACTAGAAAATGATTTCACTGAAGCGAGAGAATTGGGTGTAAGACGATGCCGACTCGAATTTTTCAAGCTCGCGAAAAGAAAAGACGTAGACCGAGATGAATTCATCATGTTTGTTGGTGGCTGCTAAAAATTTTATCGTGTATATATGAATTTTTTTTGAATCAATGAGTCAAGTCTTGTCATATCAAATCGGAATTCTGGGAATGGAGCGGTAAAGCACGATTAACCCGGAAAAAAATGTCACTGAAATAAACGTAGATCCGTGCATTAATAAATCTTATGTATCTAAAGAAACAATAGTTTAGCGCTTTATAATACGTATAAAACAAGTCGAAATCGCTGGTATTTGGGATAAGAAATAAAAATGTTCGCTCAATAAATCAAATATTCAAACTAATAATTAGTCGATTTATCAATAAATAATCACAAAATTGCAACTCGATATCTTTTTTATTGACAATTTCATCGCGTGATAAGAAAGTTAACCTCGGGCATGTGATGTAGGATCGATTTTCCGAACACGAGAAATCCGATCATCAATTAGCCAATGAAAAATTAGGATCAAATGTAACGTAAATCTTTAACTCGCCAATCACGTGAATGTATTTCAATTTTACATATACAATGTAATATAATATATTATATAATACAGTCAATAATATAGTAATATAGATAATCATATTAAATAATTATTATTTCTATTATTTAATTAATATTCTTTAAGATTTTATAATATAACTTGAACTTATTAACTATTTATTTAGTAACTAATTTTTTATTATAAATTAATGTAAAAATATTGGCATGCTAATATAAAATTAATAATTACTTCTAATAAAAATCATTCAAATTTTAATTAATTTTTTTATATTAAATAAAGAATAATCTAAACTAACTTTTTATATTATTATAATATAGATTTTTTTATATATAATTTATTAATATTAGTTATTTTATATTTATATTTTTATTAAATAATTATTTAGTTATATTTATTAAGTAATAATTAAGATAGTATTATTAATAGATATTTTTAGATAGTTTTATAAGTATAATAATTATAATAAAATTATTATAGCAAAACTAATAATATTATTATCACAAAATTAATATTATGATACTAATAAAAGTAATATTTAAATTATAATAAAAGTATTATTTGTAAAATCTCTAAAATATATAAAAGTAATATATCTTAAAAAGAGAAATAAATTAAGAAAATTAATTAATAAAATAAAATAAATTAATAAAATGAATTAATAAATAATAAATAAATTAATAAATTAAATAATAATAAAATAAAATAATAATTTAAACATAATAATATTATAAATTAATAATCTTTATTAATAATATCTTATTTATTATAATATATTTTTTATATTATGATTCCAGGTTATATTCTAGCTAATCATGTCATGAATATATTCTTATTATCTATCTTTAATTTTATTATAATTATAGTTTAATATTTATTATATTATATTATTATCATTTTAAGTTTATATATATATAAATATTTTAAAATAGTAAGAGTGATTATATTCATGATAATTCTTTACTTTTATAACTTTAAAAAATTATATAATCAATTATTTTCTCAATAAAATAATATATATAAGTTTTATTTTTAATAAAATATAATTATCTTTTTAATAAAATAATTTATATAAGTTTACTTCTGATAAAATACTCTTTTAATAAAGCAAAAAGAAAATAAATATAAGATATATAATAAGATATATGTATTTATTAAAGAAAAATTACTAATTAACTACTCTTAACTCAGTAACTAATTACTTTTATCAAACTTAATTATTCTTCTTGATTACTTCTTGACTCTTTATATATAATATTTTCTTGCTATACTAATTACAAATTATTTTTAATATAATATTTTACTTAATTTATTCAAGAACAAGTAGAATTTCAAAAGAATAATTATAAAAAATATTAAATACATAACAATTAAGAATTAAAATTAGCAAAATATTAGGATATTCAAAGCTAAAGTAAAAAAAGAAAGAAAAACTAATAATAATTAATTAGAAAATTATTAATTTAATAAAATTATAAATTAAGTATAATACTTATAAATAAATTAATAAAAGAATAAGACTAAATATAGATAATAATATAAACTAAAAATAAAATTAATAATAAATAAAATTAATTAATATAAATTTCTTGTTCACCTAATTTAGTAATAATTAGTAATTATTATGCTATATACTGTAACTGTACTATATACTGTACTATATAAATAAGTAACTAGTTATAGAATTTCTGACTTTAAGAGATTTATTTTATAAATCTTTTTAATTATTATTAATAATAATTATTAATTTTAAATTATTAAACTTGATATATAATTTCAAGTAATCACTATTGTATGAATTTTTCAAGATTTTTTTATCTTTATTTCTGAGTTTATAGACTTTTTTATCATAAATTTCATGAATATAGAATAGTTCTTTTTATTTTTTATTAAATTTATCATGATACTAGTATTAAGCTTCTATTTATTTTATCAATACTTTTTGTTCTATCTGATTTTTTGTCATATTATTCTTTTTATTTTAATTATTTCTCTTGAATATTACTAAGAATTAGTTCTTACATAATCTCTAGTTTATCAATTAATTTATATATTCTTTTTACTAGAGCTTTTTCAAAGATAAAACTATCAAAATTTTTAATTTAATATCTAATGATATGATGACTTATTGATCATATATCAGTTAAAAAGATTTAAATAGAATTATATTTTATTTCATTATTCTATAAGTGAATAGAACTGAAGATAGGTAATAGTTCTAATCTTTCTTATAGAGCTAAATATACTTTAATATTAAAGTACACAAAGTTTGATTTAATTTTTTAACTAATCTATTAGTTTGAGAATAATATAAAGTAGAAAGTCTATGTTTAATCTAATATTTTTCTAATAGTTCTTTGATAATTTTATTAATAAATATAGTTTCTTTATCATTAAGTATTTCTTTTAAAAATCTATATCTTATTATTATGTCTTTATAGAGAAATAAAATAATTGAGACTGTGAAAGTATCTGTGATAAATTTTGCTTTAACTTATTTGATTAGATAATTTATAATAATTATAATATAATAATTTTTATTACTAATTACTGGAAAAGATCCTACTAGATCAATTTTAATCTTTTTAAAAGATGTATTTACTTGAATTAGTATCATTTTATTATTCTTGTATAGTTATTCTTTTTGTTAATATATATAACAGACTTTAATATATATATTTATATCTCTATAAATCTGAAACTAATAATAATTTCTTATTATTTAGTTATAAATAATTTTAATTTCAAAATATTTAGAGATAATATCTAAATGATTATTATAAAGAATTAATTTTACTTCTGTTAATTTTATAACTAATAATAAATAATTAATATTTTGTTTATTTTTTTTATATAGTTTATTATTTTGTAAAAAGTATTTTTTTGATTCTATTAGTAGTCATTTTCATTTTTTCTTTGAGAATTTATCTGATATTATCAGCATGTTGAGATAATTATATAATTCTATATAGTTATCTAAATTTATATTTTATTATTTTCTTCTTTAGATATGAGTAATATTCTGAAAAGTGAGTCAATATTTAAGTAAATTTTATCAAATTTATATTCAATTTTAAAACTATATTTACGTAAAGTCATTATCTAATATGCAAGTCTTTCAGAAGGATTTGACTTATTAATTAGTTACTTTAATATTGAATGATTAATGATTAATATGAATAAAATATCAGATAATAGATAAGATCTGAATAATTTAACTATCTAAATTACTTCAAGATATTTTAATTCTATTATATTATACTTATTTTTTTTTATTAACTCTTCTACTAGTATATATAATAATATATTTCTTCTTTTTATTATTATATTATACTAATATAGCTTCTAATTCAAGTTTAAAAATATTAGTAAAAAGAGTAAAGAGCTTTATAAAATCTGAATAAATGATGATTAATAATAATATTAAATACTTTTTAAGTAACTCAAAAGCTTTTTATTACTTTTCTGTTTATCTAAATTCTTTATTCTTTTTAAATAACTTGTAAAGAGAGATTACTATTTTGATAGTTTTTTATAAATCTTCTGTAATAAGAGACAAGTCTAACAAATTTTTTTAATAAAGTAATATTGATAGATACTGGAAATTCTTTATCTTTACTAAATTAAAATGGATATTATTTTTTCTAATAATATATTCTAAGAAGAATAGCTAATTCTTTCTAAAAGTATGTTTGTCTAATTAGAGCTTTAGATTTGCTTATTAGAGTTTTTCTAAAGCCTTTTATACATAAACTAAATATTTTTTTCAGATTTCAGAATATATAGTAATATTATCAAGATATATAATAATAAATTTTCCAATAAATTTTTTAAAAATTTTGTTTATTAATCTTTGAAATATTACTAGAGTATTAATGAGTTCAAATAGTATAATATTAAAGTAAAATAGATCTTTATTAGTAATAAATATAGTTTTTTTTCTATCTCTTGGATATATTTTCACCTGTCAAAATCTATTAGTAAGATCTATAATAATAAAATATTTAGCATTTTTAAAGAAATTCAGAAGTTTATCAATTTGTGATAAAGAATATTGATCTTTCTTGATAACTTTATTTAATTTTCTGTAATTTATATATAATCAAAACTTTTTATTCTTCTTTCTCATTATTATATTAATACTAACTAAGAACTCTTGAAAGAGAAGATTATATTATTATCTAATATTTTCTGAATTTTCTCTTTTAAGAAGATATTTTTCATTGGCAATTTATTATGATATAGCTAAAGAATTATTAATCTTTCTTCTTTCAAATATATTTTATATTAAAGAATATTAATTTAGTCTGATTGTAATGTATCAAAAAGATCTTTAAATAAATCTAGAACTTGATATAACTATTATTATTATTTCAAATTCAAGTCTGATTCTATTATAGTTGAAGTAGTATTTAATGGTAACTGAGATAATATTTCCAATTGATTATATATTCTTTATTCAGTTTTATATTAGAAATATTCATATTCTCTTCTATTATAGATATATATATTATAATTCTCTAGT